TCGTCCTGGATGCTAGGAATTATTGTTCATTGTAACGTATTACGTACTAGCAATGATGCAACAATTATTGTATTTCTCTAGAAAATAAACAGTACCTCCGTTGAAAAATACCCGGTTATATTTTTTATCCAAGGGGGTGGATTTTCTGTGGGAACCTCCATGTTTATATACAGCAGTGAAGTGCTGAGCACGTATAATGACGTCGTCGTGGTTACGTTCAACTACAGGTTGCAAGCTTTAGGTAAGATTTAGGAGTGGTCACAGGACCTCTTGGACTGTGTAGTGGTGTATGTCTATGTATGTAGTGACAACAAACAAATACTGTCATCGCCTTGTTTATGTGAGTGTTATGTTAAAGCGGGGGAGTCGTCACCTGCGCATGCGTCAGATGGCCATAGCATGTTATTGTTTACAAACCAGCGTCTACCCGTGAACCTTTGCGTTTTTTGCACAGGTGACGACCCTCACGCTTTAATTATGATTGTAAGTGTCGACAGAGATTATGTAAATTAGTTAGTCCCCCACTTGTGTTGTTTTCAGTTGAACAGGGAAGATCAAACTTCAATCAGAGTTTTGGTTTGTTTTCTGTGAAGTATGTTGCTGGATTATATATTAACAAACGATCTGATCACATCCGGGACACTTGCTATATAATCGTGTTTACTCAAGTTCAATACTTCCTAATTGTACAAGCATAAACACGCACCTAACGAACGTTTAAAAGAAACCACTCGATTCCAACTTGAACTCATAATGAATTTTGAGTTATATTTCAAACTCCCTCTTCTAACTGAACAACCGAAAAATAAGTCATATTTTTAAAAACATAAACACTCACAAGTAACCTAGTGTTTTATATTATATGTTTCAATTAATTTTCCAAACTTGTTCCGCTTCTGGTAAAGTTCCTTAATTGTTACTGCTTGAGTCCAAGACTGTTTTAATAAATTAAAAAAGTTTTCCAAACCTTAAAAGTTGTATTATGGAAAGTGTATGGTTTTTTTTTTTTGCCTTTCAATACAACATGACAATAATAATTGCTACCATACTACCACCAGTGACTTCATCGTGATCATATTGTATGTTACGTGAACTCACACCTGTATTGTGTCTATTAAGGTTATTTAAGTACGCAAGATGATGTAGCCCCTGGCAACTGGGGAATGTGGGACCAGGTAGCAGCGCTGAAGTGGGTCAAGCAGAACATTGAATATTTCAACGGGGATCCCGATGCTATCACCGCATATGGACAGAGTGCAGGGGCTGTCAGCGTCGGTTTACATATGCTATCACCACAGTCTAAAGGTACTAGTATAGGGCCAATTAATTATTGTAAATTGCTCCCTCAACCGACGAGTTCCGGGGCATTAAGATGGCGGTGGGCGATGTGAACTGTGCTTGGGTGTGTGGTCGTTTGTCGTGTATATAGTAATATATATAGTCGAAAACTTTATTTTTCATGAACAGATCAAAATAATGTCGACCTCATGAATGGCCTTCCTAATGTCGGCCGCGAACTGGCATCATACATTTTAACTTCGTTGTGCAGTCTATACGCGCTAAGGAAAGCGCATTAAAACACGCGAATGAAATACAGTGACTAATGTACACTGGGCTAACTTTTACATTCATATTTTAGTATATGAAGGTATACATGTTCGTCATCTGAAATAATTGTGCTTTTTCCAGAAAATTCATGCGTTTTTTTCAGTAGAATCTTTTGTAAGGCCAAAAAACGAAACAAAACCGTGACAAAAATACAATATACCTGATCCTAGTCCATGTGCGCGTCATTTCAAAATGAATATTTTTTTTAACGAACGAAAAAGAAAATAATATGTGAGCGGCTCATTTCGAACTGACGCGCGCGCGAACCAGAAATATGTCCTTTTTTTTTCGTGGCCCAAACATGTTTTATATATGTTTTTATCTAGGACGAAATGACACAAATTATACATGCTGGGTGCTGT